TATGTGGCCTCAGAGGCAGTTGTATTTGAGCTGGACTTTAAAGACAACTAAGATTCCAATAAACAATGAGAGCTGGGGAGAAATATTCCAGAGATATGCAATCAGAAAAGTGAAGATAACCTGGATAATATAAGCTATATTTAGGGAATAATTAGTAGTTAAATTTTGTAAGACTATGCTTATCCAATATAAACACGAGGGAAAAATAAAGTTGGTAAATAGTTGAGTAAATCTGTAGTCACATTCTTGATGACTTTGGATTTTAGACTGAGAGATAAGAGATGATATTGCAACCATTAAAAATAAGCTCCTTGCAGAAAGAAACATTCAGAGAATTTTTTAAAAAGCTCTGGAAGTAAAATATGATAGAAGAAATAAAATTATAACAGGAAGGTTGGAAGATGAAGTTGGGGAAATCTTTAAGAAATAGAACGAAAGACAAAAAGATGGACAACAGGAGAGAAATATAAGAAAACAGATCATTCTAGGTGATCCAATATCCTAAAACAAGAGACTAGAGAAATAGAGAGGAGAAAATAATCAATGAAATAATTCAGGAAAATTTCCCTGGAGGGAAGGAAGGACATACATTTCCAGATAGAAAAGACCATCTGAGAGTTAACCAAGGTGGACAAACAGGCATTTCATGACAAAAATTTAAAACCCTGAAGAGAAGATCCTAGAAGCTTTCACTAAAAAAGATAAAGAGTCAGAATATTTGCATATTTCTCCACAGCAACACTGAAAGCTATAGACAACAGAGTGATCTCCAACCTAAAATTCTATACCAAACCAAGGTAGGCATTAAGTAGGAAAGCAGGATACAGACATTTCAGATACATACAATTTCAGTAAATTTATTCTCTACATATCTTTTCTCAGAAAGTTACTGGAAGAAGCTACTGCAGGGTACGTACCAACAAAGTGAGAGAGTAAGTCAAGAAAGACAAATATATGGAAGACAGGAAACAGGAGATTCTATTCAGGGAGACCATTGTTCATCAGACCTCGAGTGTAACTTGTTCAGATTGGAGGTTTGAAAATGTGTGTCTAAGGAAGTATCTTTTCTTCTGGAGTGAACTGGTAGACTTAATGGAAGTCTATTGTAAGATCCACAATGATGCTAGCATATGGGTGTAGACTGAAAATGGGTATGTTAAGGAAATACATTCTTAACATGAAGGGTTATGCCAAAGACCAGTGTCAATTATCCTAGCAAGAGCTTTCTGATTTCCTTAGAGTGTGGTGTAGAAAAAAACCAAATCTGCCCAAATAAGGGGAGCATGTGGGTGTGTGTGTATACATACACTTATATAGTACAGCGTGTCTATGGATGGATACATAGGAAGCAGAACATCAGAATTGTATGGCTAAGGAAAAGGAATGTGAGGGAGACCTTCTTTTCACTACTTACCTCCTTGTTCCTCTTGGCGCTTTGAATAGAATGCAGGGTAAGAGAGACAGGAAGCTGGGATCAGTTGGGTGGTGACTGTCATGCTCTTGGAATGAGTAAATAAGGATCTGACTGAGAAAAGAAGTGGGGGGGGGTACTAAAGCAGGAAGACAGCTTGCCTGACCTGATGATGACTCATGACTAAACGTGGCAATAGGATGAGGGTGAGCAGTGGGTGCTGAGGGAAACGTCAAGGGTAGTGGTCAGAGTGACTCTCTGCCTTCATGCCTTGGTTGACAAATGTGAGGACACAGTGGATGAAATTGACCTTTTTTTGGTTTTTGTTTTGCTTGTTTGAGTCAGAGTCTCACTCTGTCACCCAGACTGGAGTGCAGTGGCACACTCATGGCACCACATCCTCAACCTGCTGGGCTGAGGCCATCCTCCACCTCATCTTCCGAGTAACTGGAACCACAGGCACGTGCCACCATGCCCAGAGGATTTTTATGATTTATTGTAGAGACAAGGTCTTGCCAACTTGTCCAGAATGATCTCAAACTCTGGGCTCAGGCAATTCTCTTGCCTTGGCCTCCGAAAGTGCTGGGATTACAGGTGAAGCCAACGCACCTGGCAGAAACTGACTTTAGAATGGCAGAGGGAGGAATGTAAATTGCAAAAGAATAATAAGTGGTGGGAGCAGAAGGGTTGGAGTTGGGGACAGCAAACACAGCTCACTTTCCCTCAGACCCAAATCTCATTTTTTTCTGGTCCTGTGTGTCTTTTTATCCACAGTGTCTGGCATTATAATATGACGTCATGGCTTGTGGAAAACTCAGTGATGTGTCTGCTGGAGTCACCACCACCTTGTGGGACTGAAGGAGTATAGAGCAAGATGTGTTGTAGCACTTGACCTGCAGCCAACCCAAATGCTGTCTCTTCTATAGCCAGAAAGGTGGGGAAATAAAGGGGGGAGGGGGTGATACCTCACAAAGTTCTCCTCGGCTCTGCCACTTACAAAGTTAACAAATTCTTTGACACGTCTCTGTGCTAAGATTTCCTCATCGGCAAAAAGCACATAATATCCCACTACCTACATCCCAGGATCATTGTGAGAATTAAATAGGATAATGAGTTTAAAGACTTAGACGAGTGCCTGGTACATGGTAAACATGCAGTAATGTTGGCTAGTATTATTACTATGTCCAGTGACCTCTTTCAACCTTTTTTTGGGTTTCTTTCCCCTAGACTTGTAACACAGCAGTTTAGAGAATTTAATATACAAAGGATGGATGTTTTCACCAAAGGGCATGTTAATTTTTCATCCATCTTTAAACAAATATGTTTTGAGAGAACAAAAAAGCATTCTGGAAATAAAGCATGATTGCAGAAATTTAAAAATACAGCAGAAAAGTTGGAAGATAGAGTTGAGGAAATCTTTAAGAATTGGAACAAAAGATAAAAAGATTGACAAGATGGGCAATTATCTTAGGTATCTGAGATCCATTGGTGAAGAAGTTAGACACATCCCTGCCCTCACAGAATCTAATTTTCATTTTTCCAGAATTTTCATGGTTTTTCTCGCATACTCTATGTAGGTATGCATTTATTTTATAATCAGGGTATTTTCAAGGAATATTTTTACATTAAGCTTCTGTTTAATGTACATAAAATCACATATTTTAAAGAATACATAGTACAAAAGGTTACATAATCAAAAGTAAGTATCTCTTCCTTATTCAGAATTTCCTAGTTATCCTCAGAAACAATAATTCTTTCTTGATTTTTTTTACATCTCATTACTGAGATAAACACAGAAGTATCTAAGGTCCCTTTTTAATATAATGGTTAGGGGAGAGGGAGGAAGAAAGGATATGGGATGAGTTAGAGGCTTCTAGCAATAGAGTTGTCAAGAGAAAGGAAGTTCAGAGAACTGAGTGGGGGAACATCAGACTACAAGGGTTGAGAAATACTGTTGAAGCAGAAGCAGAAACATAGACTTACATGTAATAAGCATTTATTGAGAACTACTCTACACAAAATATGTTAGAAACAAGTCAAGTGCTAAGAAGGCAGGGGCAGGGTGCGCACGTGGGAATATTACACAACACATTACAATACTCTAGAGTCCTTTTTGCAAAATAAAATTTTAAAACAAAGCTAATTTTGTGGCTTGGCCTCCCAAAGTTATGTCTAGGTTTGGACTGAGGCTGCTCCATCCCTTACTGATGCTACCTTACAGTCCAGTTTCCTAACTTATTTCTCCTGGGCTAGATATCCCTCTCCTGTCCCCAGTTTTCCTGTGGTTACCTTGAGCATAAACCGTCCTCAAACTCAAGTTTGCTAGCCCTGCTTTGGGCCAGCCCATATTCCCTTAGGACATGTGCAGGCTAAGTAAGCCTCTGGGTGATTTGTGTCCTGGTCTTCCGAATTCCATTCCCTCTCTTCCTCTCTCATGGAGGAGTTGAAAGTCCTAAGCCTCCTTCCATTCCTTGCATTATCAAGATGATGGCTCTCCCTCCTTGGCTCTGCTTCCAACCAGATGATTTCACAATGACTTGGGTATCATCAAAACCGCTCTCTAACTACCAGGGAAACTGCTGTCTATCTTAAGTTCATTTGGACAGATTATTCATCTGTTGCTTGTTTCAAGACTTGTCGGAAGACTGGACAGACTGGGCATTTCATGCGTGTTTCTGTGGGTTGAGATCTCTCATTGTTTTCTCTTATGAGTATTGTGATCTCCTGATTGGTTCTTTCATGGCCAACCCAGGTCAGTTTCAAGAGAAATGGGGTCACAAGATTCAGCACGTTCCTATATATTCAGTGTTTTCCATTAGTGCTTATTGGGAAGGTAGACTTTCCTCAATATTAGCAACAGCCCAGAGAGAAGTAGCTCCAGAATTCAGATCTGGTTCCATATCTGTCTCTCCTAATTTTCCCCAATTTAGGTTGATCTGCTCCTTGTTGCCTATACCCTGGGCTACCGTATTCCTTGCTGACCCTGACAGAGAAACAAGCACTCATTAGAGTGGTAGACTTTTCTCTAGAGCATAGTAATTACATTATTATAGTATACACGTATTTATATTTCAAAATATTAATAAATACAGTCATAAAATACATAACTCTGACTCAGACTGAAGAGGTAGGCTCACAGGTACAGAGGATTAAGTAAGTGAGTCACTGCCTCGGAATTTCAGGCAGATAAAAACCAGTATTCCAGAAACAGGGAGTTTTATATAAACGTAAGAGAGAAATCTGATGTGAAGAAAGGCAGTATTAGTTCTAAGCTTTATTCTCAGGCCAGGAATCATTCAAGTGGACTTGACCACAGTTGTGCTTTGAAGTAAAAAGAAGCAGAGACAGAATAAAGGTCTGCTCTTGGCACAGGGAGCAGAGTTGGTGCTACAGGAATTTCCAGGAAGTTTTCACTTCCAGGAAGTTCCTGAACACACTATTACCAACAGTAACTATTACTAACACTCACTATTACTAACAGTAACAACTTCTACTTCTGGGAGAAATAAAAGACAAACTGCAAAAAAAAAAAAAACTTGCAAAGGAAAAGGTATAAAAAACGGACACTTGTATGGACTTTACATTTTAATTAAAAATGTGTTGTGCTTGTGTCTCCTGAGGGGGTCTTCAAACTGTCCACAACACACTGGATTTCTTCCTCAGATCTTTCAGGCACGTCGTTTTTTACTCTGGAAAAACAGAAAACAGGATTGAGTAAGATTTCACAGTAGAGCCACTTTCTTTTTTCTAGGTTTCAATGATAGGGAAAGAGGAAAGGCCGCTGAGACAGGAATGATGAGAAACACACAAGTGAAGAGAGAGGTAGAGAAGGCAAGAGAAAAGAACTCTGGTCTGCATTGTCACCCGTGCGTCCACGACACGATGGCTCTGTCCCTTCTGCTGATTCCCGGATGCCTGCTCTCTGCAGGCTCTTCCAGATCATTTTGGGAACCAAGTCTGACAGGGCAGGCGGGAACTCCACACCTTGGCTTACCATCCAGGAAGCCTGGAATTAGTCTTATTGCAAGAATCACAGTGCCTGGTATATCAAATAAGTGTTGGGCACTCTGGTAGTCTCTGTACCCTAAGGTCATGACCCCATCACTGCAACCAAGCTTATGACTGAGGGCTGCTCTGATCCCATGACCGTATTGTCAGAGCATTGATATTCTTTTTTTAAAATTAATTAATTAATTAATTATAAAGATGTGGGGTACAATTCAGGACTAGGTATACAAACATTGATAATGCAGTTACCCTTGTTGATGAGGCATGCCCCTCCCTCCCCTAGCAGCTTCCCCCAACTGCCAGTCCCACCCCTCCTTCCCCTGACAGTTTCCGCTACTGCCAATCACCTTCCCACAGCATTATAATTGTTCTTGAGAGCTCAATTCCTCAGAAGTAATGGAGGTGCAGACAATATGGTCACTCCATATTGTTGTGAAAGGACTGATTACCATGGATCAGTCCAGTTGTGAAAGGACTGATTACCATGGATCTTCATGTATTCTTCATTCATTTTTTGTTATTTCAACAATTGTCCTCTTATTAATGAGTAGAAATATATAGTTATATATTCTGGATGCAAGTTCTTTAGATACCCAGCACTGTGTTAGGTGCTGGCAGCATATTGATAAGCGTAACTGGTATGGTCTGCCCTCAATAGAGTTTCGTTTAGTCTCATTTGCAGGGTTTAATACGCTCATTACGCAAATACATAAGTATAATCTGGTATCATAAAGAAAGAGCCCAGGAATCCACATAACACTGTAACAGGGGACATGGTCTAGTTTGGAGAAGGTTTTGTAAGAAAGTGCTGCTTGAAGTCCACACAGGGGAGCACATTTGAAGATATTAAAGGCCTTTGCTTGAGGAAAAAAACAAAACAAAACAACGAAGAGTGCTGCTTGAAGTGAGATCTGAAGAATGAAGTAGAGAAGTGACAGAATATTCTCGACACTGGGCACAGAAGGTGCTAAGACACTGAAGGGAACACGTTATCACTCTTCACTTCTTCATTCATTCATTCCATTCACGCAGGATGCCCACTAGCTCAGGCACTGTGTTGTGCTGCTGTGTATCACCAGTAGCTCATTTTCCCCCCTATAGTTTTACAGTATTGTGTGAATATGCCACCATTTGTTTATCCATTTACCAACTGATGAAAATGTAGAGTGCCAAGTTTGGTAAGATGAAGGAAGCTGCTATGGACATTTGTGTGTGAGTCTTTATATAGACATTTTTAAAAGATTATCTTAGATAAAAGTCTAAGATTGCTGGGTTATATAGCTGTGCATGAGAGTTTCAGTTATTTCACGTGCCCTCCAATACTTGATGTTTATTGGTGGTTTTAATTGCAGCCATTCTAGTGGGTATGCAGTAGTATCTCATTATGGTTTTAATTTGTATTTCCCTAATGACTAATGACATTGTCACTATGTCTGCTATTGGCCTTTTGTATATATTTTTCTGAGAAGTATCTGTTCAAGTCTTTTGCTTTTCTCATTTATTCAGTGAATTGTCTTCTTATTAATTAGTAGAAATATATAATTATATATTCTGGATACAAGTCCCTCATCAGATATATATTTTGCAAACATTTTCTCCCAGTCTGTGGCTTAACTTTTCCTTTTTTTAAAACAAAGTCCAATGACAAAAGTTTTCAATATTGGTTAAGTCCATTTATCAATTTCACTGTTATAATATGGTTTGTGCTTTCTGTGTGCTATCTAATAGGATTTGCCTAACCTAACAGGTCACAACAATTTTCTCCTATGTTACATTTCAGAAGTTTTCTAATTTTAGCTCTTATATTTAGGTTTATAATCTACTTTATTTTGTATGTGTTTAAGTTCATATATGTCAGTCTGGATATCTACCTGTCCCAGCACCATTTGTTGAAAAGATCCCTTTGGCCATTGTTTTGTTAAGCACTGGCCAGACCATGTGTCATGTTTTCCTAAGCTTTGGTCCCTTCCCCTATATCCTGGGAAAGTGAATTGCCTCTCTCTCTCTCTCTCTCTCTCATTTACTTTATAAATAAAGTTACCACAATTAAATGGAGATAGATGCCATTTTTCCAATCTAACAAAAAAAGAAAAGACTATCCCTTCTACATGGAATTGCGCTGGCACCTTTGTCAAAATCAATTGACCATGTGAGTTTATTTTTTGATTATTTTGTTCCATTGATTGATGTGCCCTTTCACTGTCTTGATTACTATAAATGTATGGTAAATCTTGAAATTAGGTTTTATAAAACTTTGTTTTTATTTTTCAGAATTGTCTTGGAAATTATAGCAGGTTCTTTGCATTTTCATATGACTTTTAGAATCAGCTTTCTAATTTCTACCGAAGAGCTTACCAGGATTTTGACTGAGATTGCTTTGAATCCATAGATCAATTTGAGGAGAATTGATGTCTTAACAATATCCAGTCTTTTGATTCACGAACATGGCATCTATCTCCATCTAATTGTGGTCAACTTTATTTTGTCAATAGTAATGTTATATAGTTTTCAGTATACAGGTCTTGTACTTGTTTTATTAAAGAAATTCACAAGTCTTAAATATTATTTGATGCTATTGCAAATAATATTAAAATATTTTGGTGTCCAATTGTTTGTTGTTAGTACGTAGAAATACAATTGCTTTTGTGTAATTAACCTTGTATCTTGTGACTTTGCTACACTCATTCACCAGTTTTAATAGGTTTTTTTATGAATTCCTTAGGCTTTTCTAGAAATATGATCATATTTTCTGTGAAAAAAGACAGTTTTTCTTCTGTATGCCTTTTATTTCTTTTTCTTGTTGCATTGGCTGCAACCTGCAGTACAATGCTGAACAAAAATAGTGAAAATGGACATCTTTGCTTTATCCCCAACCTTAGGAGAAATGTGATCAGTCTTTTATCATTAAATATGATGTTAATAGAAGGCTTTTGGTAGATGTCCTTTGTCAGTTTCTTTGTATTTCTATTTTTTTTTTTTAATCTTTTAGAACTTTGAAGATAGGGCTCCAAGCTCTCCTGTATTCCTATTTTGATGAGAGTATTTCTTTCTTTTTAAAATTATGAGTGAGTGTTAATTTTGTCAAAGTTTTTTCTGTATCCATTGACATAATCACATGATTTTTCTTTTTAATCTGTTTATAGAGAGAAATTTATTACCTGATTTTTGAATGTTAAATTTACCTATGCTTTTGGAATAAACTCCACATGATCATGAGGTATCATATTTCAGTATATCACTAGGTTTTGGTAGCTAATTTGGTTAAGGATTTTGGCACCTATGTTCAGGAGGGATTTTTGTAGTTTACTTTTCTTGCAATGTCTTTTTCTACTTTTGATATTAGGACTCCCCCTGCCTTCAGAGCAGCCTGGACACTGGCTCCAAGCAGTAAGTTGAGGCAAACATAGGTCTCATTTTATCTTTGTCCTTTTCTCAGAGACTATATTTTTCTGCTGTCTATTGTCCAATGTCTGAAAACAGTTGTCCCATATATTTTGTCAGCTTTCTAGTTGGTTATGGAAGGAGGCCAGTTTCTATAGCAGTTAATTCTTTGCAGGAGGAAGCAGAAGTCTATTCCTTCTATACAGTTTTAAAAGAGCTTTAATGGTCAGAAAAGTCTCTCATTTCCTTATACCTTCTCATAACCTCCACTCATTGAGATGCTCTTTGGAGTCACACTGTTACCTATGATCTTTGCACTCCTTGGTGGCAGCTCTTCAGATACATAAAGGCAGCACTTGTGTCCTCCCCAGCCTTTCTTTCAGATAAAGCTTCCTCAGTTACTTAAGCTGTTTCTTATTGGATTGAGCTTCCAGACACTTTATAAAACCTGGTTAGGTTTTCTTTTTTGTTGAGATTTCTCCTAAAAATAATGATACTTACTGTTGAATACAATATTTCAGATATCAGGAGACCAACAAAGAATTTTTAATTATCTTTTTCTATCCATGACAAAATCATCACCATGTCAAAAGAAATGCCTTTTTTAAAAAATGAAAGCAGGCAACCAAGAAAAGCAGTTTTGAAACTTTTGGATTTGATCACAAATTTGGCATTTTGAAGGGCAAATGTGATGATGTCACTGACTTTCAGTTTCTAAGCCCTATGAAGAGTTCTGCTTAAATTTGCTTAAACATGATTTGTTTTGAAAACAATACTTGGCCTTTAGGAACTCTTTCCTGGCTGGGTGTGGTGACTCATGCCTGGGTGTGGAGACTCTTACCAGCATTGTCAGAAGCCAAGGCAGGAGGACTACTTGAGCCCAGGAGTTCAAGACCAGCCTAGGCAACATAGTGAGATCTTGTCTGCACAAAAAAAAAAAAAAAAAAAATGCTGGGCATGGTGGCACACACCTGTAGTCCCAGTTACTTGAGAGACTGAGACAGGAGGATTGTTTTAGCCCAGGAGATGGAGACTGTAGTGAGCTGTGATTGTGCCATCACATTCCCATCTGGGTGACAGTGAGACCCCAACTAAAAAAAAAAAAAAAGAAAGAAAAAGAAAAAAGAAACCATTTCTGAAAATGCTGAGATTTTTAAAGTTTGTTCTAGGGAGACAAGTTGTAAAAACTGTTGGTTGCTAGGAAATTGTTATATACAGATTTCAGTCACACAAGATCCAAACAAGGAAGTAAAACTGGAAAAACGATAAATCATAGCTACAAATTCTCATGCCTTATCTG